TCCAAGGGTGCTGCTGCACAGTGCATTCCTGGAACCATCCCACTTCTTGACAGCTTGTCCCCCAGCCCTGTAGTTGGTGACACGGGGCACTATTGTGAGGACAAGAGGTATAAGAAAGGTGTGAGAATTATTAGGAATGCATCAGAACCTTACGGCTAGAATAGGGATAAACCTTTGTCTTTGCTAACGAAGCCCCATACTAAGTTCTACAGGCCAGAAGACAATGGGTTGAACAAGAGCTCTTACCGTCCAGAGTTGCAGAGAATCTGTACCAAGGTAAATCAAGCAGGCAAGCAGTAATATCCACTGAGTGGCTGCAGACACGAGGTACAGCGTGTTCCTCTTAGCCTGTCCTTTTTGCCAGCCCTTCCACTCATCATCACTCATGATGCCAGCAGGCTCCTTTTCACAGTCCTTCTGATCGTTGTGCTTTCTCAATTCCGTATCTGACTGTTCTTCCATCTCTGCCAGCAGGGCAGGGACGAGGAGCACAGGAGGGCCTGTGGAGCACAAAGCGGATGAGATAGGTGCTCCTGCCCCAGGAGCAGAAATGAAATGAACACGCTGCCTTCAGGAGAGGGTTTTATGTGCACAGAGGCAGGCAGGGGAACTTCTTTGTGACTAATCTGAATTTCCCCTTCCTTCTTTCTTTCTTTCTGTCTTTTCTTTATTCTTTTTTTTTTTTTTTTTTTTTTTTTTTTTTTGTGAATGTGGGGGCTGGTTTGTTGCATCCCAGTTCAGTTTTGAGTAAGGGCCTTTGAATGTAGATGTGTTTATGTGTTTATGTCTTTCATAGTTTCAGCTGTGGATCTCTTGATATGTGATGTTTCCAATGGTAGCTAAGAGTTGGATGGACACTGATCTCTCTGAGCAGTCTTTTGACAGTAAAAGCTCTCATCTTTCTGTTCAGCTGCAGGTTGGGGGTTTACAGAGCGCTGGCTACCTGCCTGGTTTGTAGAGTATGATGCTGCTGAAATCTCTTTTCTGTAAAGAATTAATAGGAGGGAATATCAGACAAATGGAAGTCATGAAGAATTGGAGACAAAATATGTCCTTTCTCTTCACCTTTGTCTTCTACCTTTAAGGCCATGGGATGCTGCATGAAACTTATGAGAGAGAAAATGGAGAACTGCTCATGGAGCATCCCTGCACCCTGCCCCTACAAGTGGAGGGACAGCCCTGGGCCATCAGGCTTCCCTCCTGGAAGATCACTGCCTTTTGGGACGCTGAAAACTTGAAATGCAAATCCAGTTTTTCCTATCTGTCCAAGGGCCTGTATTACATGTTCCTCTGCCGCCTCTCCTCCCAACACTCCCCTTTTGCTTAGTCTTCTTGTGACACTCGCATGTGATGTGTGAGTTGATACATGTCAGTTGTCTGCAGCAAGGGCCATCTCCTGCGCATGTTTTGGGTGACAAGATGCAAAGCCTCTTTGGAGGCTGTCCACCACTGCTTTCTGTCACTCTTTCAGACAGATTTTTTTTGTTGTAAATCAGCATATCGTGACCAGAGTCAGGTGCTACCTTCTCCCAGTGAGGATCAGGCCCATTGGGAGTGTTATAATGCATTCATCTGTCAGGTATGAGCTGTCAGAAGTTTCCCTTCCCCAAAATGTTCTCTCTTAACTTGTCAACTTGTCACAAGGCACATGTCCTGACAAACATGTACTCTGCATGCAGAGAAAGCAAGTATAAAGTTTTTTTCATATGGGTTTTTTTTTTCCATTTAAACAAGGATATTTCTTATAAACATGATTGAACAAAGGATGGAGTGCAGCACTTGAGTGAGCAAACTTCTATGAGGACACACAGCTCCTCAGTACATTTATTCCTGAGAAATAAACTCAGTTGGCAAAAGCTGGTAGATTGAGTCAGGAATACACTGGTATTTGTCTTAAGAGCAGGCCAGAAGTCATGAAAACTTACTTAAAAAATGCTCAATTTTAAAATTTTCTGTTACTTCTTGGGTGCATGGGAATTCCTGTCCCACTTCTGCCAGCAGCTGCTCACTGGGGCATGCTCAAGCCCCACGCTGAACCCCAGCTCACCAAGAGGTCCAGGAACAGCCCTAACCCTCTTTCCTTGTCCCAGATATGACTGATGCCATGGTGAGGGGAAGTGATGCTGCCTCTGAGAAGTTCCCTCTGACCTAGATGGCATTGCTCCCAGCACTGAGCTCAGGTTTAGCCAAGACCTGAAGAGGAGCAAGGCAACACTCTGTGGTGCTGCAGAGGCCCACTGAAGCTGTGGGGACACGGAGAGGGAGGTTGTTTGTTCCTGCAAGTCTGCAACATCCTATCTCATCCTACCTGCTTCCATGAAAGCTCCCCAGGAAACAGGCTCCGTGTTTCCAGCCACAGTGTTCATCCATAACAGGCTTAGTGAAGAGATTTATTAATCTTAGTGTGTCTTCAGAATAGCTTTCCAGTGGGGAAAAAAATCTACCTCTGGGTCCTTCCCCATGACGCTATTTTCAGCCAGCTGCAGCTCCTGGCCGTGTCGGCCAGGAAGCTGGGACCAGGCTCTACTGATGCCACAGGAATGGCAAGACATGCTGAGAGTCTGTCTGGGCTGCAAACATCTGCACCTCCTTGTGCCCTGAGGTGCCTGCTTTGGGCACGGCTCAGGACAGGTGCCCATCACTTGCAGTCCCCATGGCAGAAGCAGGGAGGAGCACTGTGAGGCAGGCTTGTCCAAAACCTGTGCTCCTACCTGTAGCGAGAGCCATCAGCAAGGGGCTGCAGAGGCAATCAGCACAGATCTGGTATAGCCTGCCAGCGAGCCTGGCAGTGGTTCAGTGGGGAATCACTGAAAGAGAGAGTAATCTTTACACCACATCTGCCTTCCTGGAAGAGTAGGCACTGCCATGTACCAGAGTAGCTCTGCCAGATGCAGCAGCCCGCTCTCTCCTATTGGCCCTCCAAGGAAGGAAACTGTTTCACAGTTGCTGCTTGGTTTCTACAAAAATACTGGAGATGCTAAGACATTCCAAACCAGCGTGACCCCATAATGCTCACATTCTGTTATGTGCTTTTGATCCAGACACAATGTCTCACTCATCTCCCTTCCCCACTTTGGATATTGCACTGGTTTTGTTTCTAAAAGAATGTACCCTGAAAATGTGGGTGGAGGTTGTGCATATGTATGTCTGAAATTGCTCTGTCATTTCTGTACTCCCCCAGTGCAAGTGTTGCTTAGCCTGGGTTAATAACACAGGCGGCACTGAGGATCGAAAGCTGCATTTCAAGTAATGTATCTGGCATTGTGTCCGAAACAGGAAAGAGGACAGCTCATTCAGTGCCATCATGAACAATGATGCATAAACTACCTTCCGCGGTTTTAATTGCCTTCATCTTGTCCGCCTGCCTTGCATACTGAAACCCAAGTGCATGCAGGGTTGGTGGTTTCAAGTACATGCTATGAGATCCCCTGCTTGCACTCCCACAGGAAATCTTCCTAGCTTCTGGTTTCTTTGTCATCCCAGTCATTTTCCAAAGACATGCTTCCTGCTGGTACTGACAGCAAAATTATTCCTGCCAGAACTGATGGCTAAACCCTGGCTAACGCATATTGACCATGGTTGAGGCTCAGTCCTGCAGTGTCACCCCTCTACCAGATGTTGAAGCTGCTACCCATCAGCGTCCCCATGCCATGAGGCTGCTATACTCCAGCCCGTGGGATGAAGCAAAGAGCATCCTCACCATAAAACGCAGCTCCTGGCCCATTGGGAGCATTGCACATATGTGAGGGCTCTTCTCCAAGGCCTGGGAGACCCTGCAGGCACCCTTCCCAATTCTATTCCTATTTCCTGGGAAAGTACTCTTAGAACCCCAAAAGGAGGAAACTGGGAGTTACATGGGTCAGATGAACTTCTCAGAAGAATAGGAGAACAACTGATTGAACTGTTTATAAACATCTAGAAAGAAAAAGGAAATGAAAAGCAACCAGTGTGGGTTTCCAGGAACAAAAGATAAAGTTGTCTTGTGAGGGATAAGAAAGTCTCGGGCACACGAGTAGCTGTAGGAATTTGTGGTGTCTTTGGTAAGAAGTCTGACTCTTCTTTGTTACACTGATGATTAAAGATCTGTATGAAATCACTGCTAGACAGAAGCAGAGCAAGTTGAGTGATTATTGATGGTTTGGTGACAAAATGGAAGGACCTGTCCTAAATTCAGCACCTCTGCAGTTCCAGAGCTCCAAGTGTTTTGAACACAGTTGACTGTGAGCTAGGCAACACAGATGCTCCTTTTGAGGCAAGGTATCTCAGGCACTTTCTGGCTCTTCTCAGTACTCTTTGGCTCTAATTTAAAGGGCTGGCATCTACTTGGAGTGCAGTGCTAGCAGAGATCTGCTGTTGCTCTCGTTGGTGCCATCAGGTAGTACAACTTATACCCAGTGCTGTCCTTTCATGTGCAGTTCCTTATTGTCCACCGACAGCTGTCTTTACCTTGAGGGTCTTGGCTCATACAATCTGATGAAGCAGAATAGCAGGAAATAGCAACTGAAGACTCGTAGTTGTGCAAGAGTGTAGCAGAAATGCTAAGTCACAGCATGAAGCAGTGATTGAGCACCTGGTGGGAAGGCAGGGCCAACCCAGGGGAGTTCAGGTGCGTGCAATGAACCTGAGTGACCTGAAGGGCTGGAGCCAGGATCCACACATTCCCAGACCTCATTTAAGGGCTGGCAGTGGAGGTGACGGTATCTTGCTGGAGATCTGTGCCTACCTGAGACCTTCCAAAGGTAAGCAGTTTTTTTCTTCCTTTGTTTCTGCACCCATAGCTGCTGCATTTAGGTTTGTTCTCCTTTGCTGTAGGGTTGTGTCACTCTGCTGTTATTGCTATTCTTTCAATCATGTTATAGCATTACAAAGAGAAAAAAGCAAAGCATAGGACAGGCAACATGTTCTTCCAGGTCTAGCTGCTCAGCATGTGCCTTATCTAGTGCTCTTTTAATGCTTTCAGGATTAATTGAACTGAGCCAGTCCTACTTATCAAGGTAAAAACATTTAACCCCAGAATATTGTGCACTCCTGCTTCAGTGTCTTGCAACCATATGAACTATTTTCCATGCTTTGGTTTTGTTCCCATGTGACATTTTCATGCTCCTCACTTACAGCCGCTCTTTGGCTGCTAATGCTCCAAGAATTTCTGCTAGCAGAGGCATTGGGCCAGGAGGTTGTATGATTCAGACAGTTTTTGGCAGTGAAAAGCAGAGGAGGAGATTGTGGAAATGCTGTGAAATTCATGAATCAAATCCTGGGCATCTATGGCTTGGTGCCATTAAGAGTGGAAAAGATCTCTAAGGTCATCAAGTCCAATCATCCAACCACCAATCTATGCCTGCTAATCCGTGTCCCTCCATGCTGCATCTCTGTGGTTCTTGAATGCCTCCAGGGACAGTGACACCAACGCCTCACTTCAGAGCGCTGTGCCGGGATCTTTCCAAGTGAGTAGCGGGGTGAGTGGCATCACTGTAGCACCCCTGTGGTTCTACTGCTGCATGTAAACATGTTCCCCAGGACTGCCACAAGGGTTGTTGTAATCCCTTGGTGAGGAGAAGGCTCTTTTTCAAGAGGATGGTTGCATAAGCCCAATTCCAAGAACTGGCTGCGCTAAGCACAGAAAATCCAGGCAGGATTAGGGCTTCTGATAGTGCCAGCGGGTTTTCCCAACCCTTAGGGACTGTGGTGTGCCCAGCACAGGCCATACAGCATCTGCAGCAGAGCTACATGTTTAATGGCAACATGCTACAGCCGTGTCATGGTGCTGAGCTCCCAGTGGACCACAGTGCAGTCCTGTGCAGTCTCAGAGCTAGGGGAGGTCAGTATCCCCTCACCATGAGCAATGGCATGTTACAGCAGAGCTGTGAGGTTTTAAGGCCAGCTGTACCACTTTTTTACTTTCTTTTTTTTCTTTTTTTTTTTCTTCACCAGAAGAAACTTTCCAGGTTGACGGTGACCTTTGCCTTGAGCATTATCTCTTTCCAGTGAGCCCCTGTGGATTTTGCTACTGTCTTTGAGTGGACTTCACTCACCATGACTTCAACTGAGTGGGCAGGGGCTGAGTGTTTGCTCTGGCACCTCTGAAAGGTTGAGGTGAACTTAGTCATACCAGTTTTCCTTCCTGTTCCTCAGTAAGAAATCACGCCCATAGCATTAGATTGTAAAATAACAGGAGACAAAAGTCAAATAAATCTTTCAATATCTTTCTAGAGAAGAGGAAACAATTGATGCTAATACTAATAAAGATAAAGCTTCCACTTAAAAAACACAGGTTCTCGTGTAGAGCTGCTGGGCTTGGCCAGTTTTCTCCCAGTGAAGCTTCCTGTAGGGTTGGACACTCCAGGAAGGGATGTGCAGCCAATGATGCTTCATGTGCATCCCTGTCCTGGAAAGAGTTAAAGATGTGGCTTCTCTTGCTTATCTGGTGCTGTCTTCATCAGTCTGTCTGCTTTCCTTTATTACTCTTATGGGAGTTTTTTGTTTCTAAAATTCTCCCCTTGAAAGTTGCAGCTCCTGATTCTTCCAGTGGGTCTCTAATATTGCATTAAACAGTTGGAGAAGTGTAGGATGAATATTCCTGTCCCAGATAAACCACTGGGAACACCCGTGTAGTGCTATTTCCTACTTCAAGACATGAGTCCATGTGTCTTTTCACAGCTATTTTATTGGGATCAGACAGCCAGCCTTTTCTAACCAGCATACCTGTAATACCATTGTATGTGCCTCTCAAGATCATTACCCAGTAGTCATAGGACTTCAGGGACTAAGTCAAAACCAGGTGTCAACAGAATTATGTTGACCACATAACGCTATCTTCCTCACGTACATTATGAACTCTTTTCCCTTTTTTGTTTTCTAAGTATTGTTTTATCATTTTTAACAGTTATCAGATTAAACGTCTGCCAAAATTGTTTCCTTCGTAAACACTTCTGAAAGAGCTCTTGATTTGTTGTTTTTTTGTTTTTTTTTTTTATTTTTTTTTTTTCCATCCACAAACAGTTACTTTTTTTTTTTTTTTTTTTTTTTTTTTTCCCCCCATCTGGTCAGCTTAGCTCATAACTTCCCCCAGTTTATATTAGATCTGATGAACCATCTGGTGCCTATATTACTGTCTGGGACTGCCCTCTGTTTGCTCACACTGACCATCATCAGACAGCAGTCACTACTTTCTGAGCAACTACCACCTTCAGAGAGAAATTACCTTTCTTTGCCCTGAGAAGCACCTCATGCAGCCTGGCCTGCTGCTGCAGGCACATGGTGGGAGTGGGCACCAACCTTGCTCAGCCTCAGCAAGGCAGCACAACCTGCTCACTGGTGGCTTTCTCTTTTATTCTTCACTCCTTTTATTTATGAAAGATCCAATTGCCTAAATGCAGCTCGAATGGGCTGGGGAGTTTTTACCCCAACAATATCCCCATAAGGCATAATCTTTCACCTTTGGGACAGATGAAGTCTGAGCATCCAGATGTCACCCAAGATTTTAAAGCGTATCTCAAGCGAATTGCACACTTGGTGTGATGTGAACCTCACAGGCAGAGCAGCCAGTATTTCTCAGGTGCCATGTATCTCTTGCAGAACTACACAGTGAGCAGCCCCGATGCTGCACGTTGTGCTGGGCAGGACCCCAGCTGCTTGCAGGAACATCCCACAGCTGTGGTGCATGGAGCGCCCACAGCCATCACACAGCCATGCATTTTGGTATGCACGGGGCTCCCCAAATGAGTGCATGCAGCCCCTCTGCACTGTGTGTTCGGAGGGCAGCGAGACAGCAGTGAGAGCCCCAAATGAGTAAGCCTGGCCTGAGGTTTTCTCTGTATTACGCACGGCAGCCCTCGCACTCCGATGGGCTTTAACAGGGGATGGCACTGTGGTTCCCAGCCCTCGTTCTGGGAGCCCACCTCATGGCTGTCACCCTTCAGCCCCCAAGCACACGGGCAGCCATAGGAGGGGTATGATGCTGCAAGACGCAAGCATGAGCTGGTACAAGCTGCCAGCCTTGTGCCATGGGTGTTTGCTGCTGACAGATGCTTCGCTTTTTCCCTCAACTGCTGCTTTCAGAGGTCCTTAAGTGAAATACAAACAGCTCTGCTAGGTTCTGGGGAGGGTTCTAAGGACATAACACAGCAGGCTGTCAGCGCAGGTTCTGGGGCCTGCAGGGGCAGTTAGGAGGGAAGGGAGCAGCCACCTGAGTTTGCTTACAGGAGCACCTCTGGGAAAGCCTGCACTGAGGTTGCTTTGTGTTGGGGTTTGCCATATCCATCAGACCAAGAGAGATGAGGGTGCTGCAGCACTGACATTCTAGCATTGGCAGTGAGCACGCACACAGATGCTGTATGTGCATGCACAGCATGTGCATGTATAGATGTAGTTTGTGTATACATGCAATTCATGTATATGTACACAGCCATGCAGCTCAGCACATGCACAATACCCAGTCACTTGCAAACAGCACAAATGGCCTCATCCTATTCCCCTTGCTGACAAATCAGCATGAAAGCCCACAAGCAGAATATATATATATATATCTGTGCAATATAGATTCCTCCAGCCACTGCTGTGCCACACACAGTGTGTGCAGCCTATCCCCTGACTCCCACACCACTTACCACAGTCACCAGCCGGCCTGGCTTGCTGTGTGCTAGCACTTGCACACACCATCATGCATCCTGCACCCCAGTTCCTGCAGCTGCTAGGGTTCGATGCTCCCTCCGTGTACTGCTGCTTCCGCTTCCTTACATGCTCTATGCTTTGAACAGAGCTCCTCACCTGGGAGACAGCTATAAAGAGAGCTCAGTCAGAAGACATGGCACAGCCAGAGCAGCACCCCAGTGCCCTTTTTGTCCTTTTTCCCTGTTTTTCCATGCTTGTTCCTCCCCAGACTGCACTGGTCCCTCCCTTTCTCCTTGTTCTTCCCACAGACATCCCACGATAAGCCCTACACGATCCCCAAAGGCTCTTCTTGGCATTCCATAGCAAGTCTGTGTGCCTTTGAGTGATCACGCCTTGTGTTTTCTGGACAGACAAGAGAGTGCTGCGCTCCTCGGGGCGGATGCAGGGGCCCTGGGGATATGTCAGAGTCTGATCCCAGCAGTACTCTGTTCTTCTCTGTCTGCTGCTTCTGGAACACACACACTGAACAATACATCCATTTTTTTTCAATAGCTGCAGCCTTCAGGACAGGCTCCTGCGCCGATACTGAGCGGAAAGACCGTTGAGTATTTTTACCATGAGACCACAGGAACGGTGAGTTATGACTCTGGCATTTCATGACAACTTTTTCTTGGTAAATTATCCCCTTCTTGTGTAGTGCTCAGGGATTCTGTGCTTTTTTTAAGTCCATGTGATATTTTTAGACATTCTTTTAGTGCTCTAATTTTAGTAGCTTTTGCAACATATTACTCACTCTGCAAAAGGGAAGAGTTCACTCCCCTGAGTTCTTTCCCCTGCCAACACAAACTCTCCCACTAAAGCTGGAAGAGAAGAAGAGCCCACGTTGTCTTGTTTCATAGCATTTCCTTCCCTTTGCCCCTGCTGCCCGGAACAGGGAAGGAGCTGCATGTATTGTATTAACTGCTCTTTTATTAACAGCTGTCATAGCCACAAGAGCTGGGATGCGGTTGGGTCAGTGCAAAAGCCAAATACACCAAGGTGATGCAGAACCCCTGACCTGCGGGCAGGCTGACCTGTGGGCAGGAGCTAGGAGTTGGTTCACGCCCATTGTGCCAAGCCAATAAGCACACAGAGTCAGAATCCCATAGAGGTCCTTTATTCTTAGCAACCTGTGGTGCAGAGGCACGTGGACGCATTTCCTTTGAGATTTGAGGAGGAAAAGCATTTGCGCATGCCTTAACTTGCTTCAACTTGTCTGACCTGGATATAGCACTCAGCAAAGTCCCTGCAGGGTTTGCCCATGACCGGGCTGCTTCTCCACCTCCCCAGCCTGTGCCTGCAGCTGTGCCATCTCCTCCAAACTTTGCCCAATGGAACAATCATCAGTGCTCCTTGCACTGGCCAGAGGAAGAGAAACCAGACTGCAGCTTCAGGAGGGGGGGGTCTGGCTGCCATGTCATGGGCATGGCTTGGAGCCAGCCCTGCCCTAGCCCTTTGCCCTGGCTTGCCCATCTGTTCAGGGCAGGAGCATCCCTCTGGGACAGGCACATGTTCTCCTTAGGGCAGCGCCAGTGACAACCACAGCGCAGGATGTCTCTCACTCACTGTCTCCCCATGACTCAACTAGGTCAACCAAAGGCAGGCGGCAGGCAAGCAAGGAGGCAGCTGTAGTGCAAGTGGGGCTTTCTCAGCTCTGATGGCTCTGGTTGATTTGGCATTTCTTCTGGCCCCAATTTGAAGATGGGAGTGATGGGAAGTCTGATCACACTTTGGTCTGCTCTTTCACACATCCTTAGGAGTTCCCTGTGTGACATATTTATGAACCATTATGAACCTGTGTGCCCAGCAGGCTGGTGCAGTGTCAGCATGCTGCAAGGGTTACCTCCAGCTGGTGTTCCCCTAGGTGGCATGGTGGAGTGTGGAAGTACCCATGAGAGGTCTTGTTGTGTCCCAGATGCCATCACACCTCAGACAGCTCACACAGCACTTCACCAAGACATGGGCACAAGACACTCCCAGCCTTTTTTTGCTAATTCCCCTTCTTGTGTTTCTCCCAGCAGGATTGGCACCACAATAATAGTTATAATGGGTGAGTAGCATTTACGGTTATGCCTCATCAGTGACAACATTGCTGTCTAAAAAATCAGCGTAGGTCTGAATAGAGATGTTGGTTGCTACCGGAAAATAAAGCCGCTGTGTTTTTATGGGACACCCACACCTGGCTGTTGTGATGCATCAGCCCTGCTTGGCAGGCATTGCTTTCCTATGGTAACACTGGAGTGAGTGGGTCCATTTTAAACCCATTGTCCCCAAGGCATTACATCAGGTCAGCAGGAGAGTTGGAACTGCTGCTTCTTGATCTGCTTTGCTTCCCAGTATTTGATATGTTGTTTGTTTGTTTGTTTTACTGCACTATGCTGAGAAGCCAAAGTTTTTGTGGGGGGTGAGGGAAGGTAATTGGTGGTTGAACAAAAAAATTTTTAAAAATCCCAGAGAAGTTCAGCTGATAATGCAGTGGAGTCATCTGCGTAGTGCTAGGAGAGGGCGCAGTCATGTCTCTCCAGCCAGTGATATCATCAATACCACTATGACTTGTGCAGAATATAGGTTGGAAGAAACAGAATTGCCGGTGTTGGCTGGAAATGTTCAGGTGCAGTGTGTGTCTGCAGGCAGCTGCATGGCCAAACAGCAGCCTCAGTCACACAACAGTCCCTGGCTAAGAGCTGAACTTGGGTGCTAAAACTCCCCTTGCATGTCCAGAGAGCCGTGGCACTTTCTGGCACTCCTCCAGCTACCATTTTATCCAGCGAACGAGCAGTTGAAGCAAACTTTGTCATTCCTAATCGCATCACCCACCTTTGGGAAGCCCTGGTCAAGGAAGGCAGGCAGGCTGCCTGCATCTTTTCACAGTCTCATATCCAGTCCTAGGCTCCTAAAGATTAGTATCCCATCCTCAGCTAGATACTGATGCAGAGATGTGATCTGGCCATGGGGGAGGCAGCCGAGTGATGAGGTTGGCTTTCAGTCTCACAGGCATGGGGAAGCTGCTGGAGGCACTTGCTGTCTGGGAAGCCAGCTCCTCTGCAGCAGGTGGCTGCAGCAAGGAATCGTGTAAGCTCCCAGGGGAGCAGCGTTGCTCGCTGGTGCTTATAGTTGTGGTTACTCAGCACCGTCACATGCCCTGGTTGGTATTGAATCCAAGAAAAATGAGTTTGTTTGTCTTGGGTTTCCTGCGGGTTCTTGCATTATGAATTCCTTTGAGTTACTGGATCTTGACTTTCTCTGAGACTAGTGCTCTCATTTACTGCATGCAAGGTCCAAGAGAGGATAAACTACAGGACATGATCACGGGGAGTAGCAGCAGTAGGATGGTGATGGCTCTGTCATACATCAACTTGATAAGGTCAGCCACATCGTCCTCATGGAGAGCAGCCAAGGTGCTCCAGGTGCAGCTGAGGTAACAGCTCCTTCCCTCACAGTCCCCATGCTCCTGAAAACAGCACTGTGATCCCATACAAACTGTAACAATTTGGATGTTTTGAAAGGTCCTTGCCAGCGGTGAGGGACTCCAGACACACTTCTGTGTTGCAGTACTGCTTCCCGTTAGGCTTGCATGTGATTTTCTTTTCTTTAGTGCTTCACCAAGATTCTACTACCCCACTGCGAAGCACATCTCATCTGTGCAGCTGTCTTTGGGAAAAGGGCTATTAACCTCCTGTATTATTTAAAAAAAAAAAAAGAGATCTGCAAGCACAGTATCTGTAATGCACAGCACAGGGGTGTGAGATGGTGTTGTGGGTTCGAGCCTGTTCTCACCATTAACCTGTCTTCTCAGGTCTGTGCCAGCACTGGGGTATGCCCCCTGCCCTTGATGTCCCCAACCCTAACCCTGCCACTGCTACCAGCTTCACGCCTGTGACGCCAATGGTTGTGACAGCAGGAAAGATGATCTCCTCCAGTCATCTGGCCTGTAGCCACGTCATCTCTTCATCAGCCTTTGGGGAGTGCTTCCCACCCTGCACATGGCTGGAGGCCGGTGTCCCTGGCCAGGGGCTGCTGCCTTGGGTCTCTGCCCCCGGTGCTCTGACTCACCAAGATGAGTCTGAAACAAAGAGCTCTCGTAAAATCTACAGGAAGATGTATGCGAAGATAGAGATCTCATTTACCGAGACACCACCAACTCCTCACTGGAACCAGCAAATGAAAAAGTAGCACTCTTGTGCCCAGCAAAACCCCAGACCTGCTTACTGGGTAAACTCTGAGCCAGGTAGGAGTAGGGCACAGCAGAGACATGAAGCAGTGAGCTTCAGGCTAGCGATCCCAGGAGAGAATTGGACGTGAGATGAGGTACTTCAAAAATAGAAAACTCACATCTGAAATGAGCAGAAAAACCACAGATAGGGACAGGGTGAAGATGTGGCTAAACTGCTGAGGAATTCCCCCCATGGAGTGCACCACGCATCACCGTTAGCTGCTGCCTCCCAGCCCCACACGGCCACCATGGAGCCAAGGGGAGGCTTGGGGGGATTTCTGCAGGGACTGGGGCAGCACATAGGGAAGCAGAGCCTCACGCAGCAACCCCAACTCACAGCTCCATTTCTCCAGACTGTAAATGAGCCAGAGTACAGCATGCACTTGCTTCAGCCGCGCAGGGCAGGTGGCACTGCTATCATGCCCTGACATGCCTTAGACATGCCTCCATGCTCTGCTATCTGAAAGGGATCCTTAGCTTTCTTCCCTCCCTGGTTTCAGTTTTGAAAGCAGCAGCAGCTCCATACCACAGATGTGGCAGGAGATGCTCCTACAGTCCCCTCAGTGCCCGGGCGAGAGGTCAGCCTGGTCCACAACTTCAGCCCAAGGCAGAGGGCAGCGTGAGGCTGAGGCCACGCTTCCAAAGGGACCGGATGGTTGTTTTGAGAAAACACTGGGAAAGGGCTCATTCCAGCCCCTGCTGCAGTGCAGGCTCTGAGGGGCATCCACTGTTTTTTTTCCTCTACAGTTGTCATTGTCGGAAACCATTAAGGAATGAGCCAGCAAAGGCCCGGAAAGATTCCATGAGTAATAATCTTGGAGCTTTGCCCAGGCTTAACAACAGAATAACAAACAACAACATGAACAAAGGGAGAGCAGGCTGTGCACCAAGAGGTCTCCAGTGGCTGCAGGATCTATGAAGTAAGTCCATGCTTTTGATTGTTTTCTACATACTCCCATTTACTAGAAGCAAAAGTGGTGTTGGGAGACCATTTCTGAGACTGTGATGGACAGAGGGGTTGGGGTACCAGGAGCACACCCTTACTGCAATGCCAGCAGAGGCACCCCTAGAGCCTTGTACTACCCATGGCTCTCTGGTGCTGTCCTTGTACCTCAGGGCCGATCTGGAGGTACCTGCAATGCTCACGGCCCTGCAGAGCTCAGCTGAGGCCGAGCCTGAATCCAGCCCCACAGGGCGCTGTGGGAGAAGGCATGGGCTCACACAGGGAGCTTCAGAAAAGGGAAACATCGTGTTATTCCACAGCACATGCAGAAGCACGGCTGTGGTTAAGCACCAGCTCTGAGGTATTGCTCATTTGCATCTTGTGCTACCTCAGGCGCTTTGATGTCTCACGTGAGGTTCTGGTGCCCGGGCTGCCTGGAGCTCCCGCACAGCCCAGCAGCATGGCTGTGCCTGTGCTGCCCTCCAGGCCACCTGTGTGGCTCTGTGCCCTGTTCCATCCCCATCCCTGCAGCAGCAAGTTGCACCAGCAGCAGCACGACACCCAACGGCCTCAGTACTGCTTCCCCACTGCCAGCAAGGGATCCAGGATCAGGTGGGTGCCTGTGTCCCCTCAGGCACAGGGAAGGATGCTCCTGCCTCAGCATATGTGTTTGTGTTACTGCTGTTCGGTGAGGCACACCCCCGTGTGATCCCTGCTAGATGCCACCTACCAGCCTCTTCTGTCAGAAAAGGGCCACTCTATCTCCAGAGCTTTTTGGTGCTCGCCCATCAGGTATGGGCTGCTCAGACCTGGAGGAGCCAGAGAGCTCCTGTTCAATGACAGACAGCAGCACAGGAGGGAAGATAGCATTCTGTATGTGGCACACCATCTTGCTCTCTTCAACAGTACGAATCCATCCCCCAAGCCCCTGGAGGCTGGGACTGCCCCACTGGGGTTAGTCAGTCCACATAACCACAGTAGGGATCAGCTGGGCTGAGCAACAGAACACAGTACCTTCAGCATGACAGGGCTCTCTGTGTGTGTCTGTACTCATGCCTATACAAAGGTGTTTGTCTTTTCCTCTTCTGTTTTTTTCTAACCATGGGTGTCCTGAAGTCTAAAATAATAGGGACAGTTTGCATTATTGCCCAAGTGGAGTGAGGACAGCCCATACATGTACCTCTCTATGCTGTTTTTTTCTTGACAGCCTCAGGAAGACAGTATTAGGAACCTGCAGCACCCCACAATGCACAACCCTACTTCCACACACAGGTGAAGGGGACTGCAATATCATCACCCACTCATTCTATGCCTTCTGCCTCTCCGATGCTTTGCTGTCTTCCTTTGGGAACAAGGATGCTGAAGATAGCAGGACTACACCAGCTGTTTTGGAAACAGGATGCTCTGCTTGAGCGTCAGCAGGGCTGCCTTTGCAGCAGGCAGGAGTGAAACTGAGAAACCCAAAGCAAAGGGATAATGCAGCTGCTGTGTGAACAGCTCCAGGATGCTGAGCTCAGCTGTAAGTGGGGGTGTAGGGACAGGCAGTGGCACATCCTTGCCCTTCAAATGCAGGCCAGGAAAGGGAACCATATCTCAGCAAGGCACCTTGCACAGGAACCAGGCTGCTCCATGGGGCACTGCACTGCTGTGGGGCAGGAACAGGGCCAGCCACAGGAGGGATGCACACAGCTGCAACACAGGAGAAAACTAGAGGTGAGGTGCTGACAGAGGCAGCCCAGAAGAGGTGGAGGTGCCCAAGACTAGGCTGGATGGGACCCTGGACAGCCTGATATGGTGGGAGCAGCCAGCTCATGGCAGGGGGTTGGAACAGGGTGAGCATTAAAGTCCCTTCTAACCAAAACCATTCCGCAATCCTATAAAAGCCTACTTAAGCCCAAAAGACTTGTATCTGAACATCAACCCTGTATGTTTTAAGTGGATGAGGATGGAGAGAAAGCTGGTGGGTGAGCATTAGTCTGAAACCAAAACTTAATCTGTGACACGCTTTAAAAACAAACAAATACGACAACTTGAAACAATCTTCTGGTGAATATTTTGGAGAAAGCGAGGGCAGAGGTAAATATAAAGCAGGCTGATCTGCCTTGTGATTTCTTTCTGGTGGGAAAATAGCATTTCTAATAAGAAATGAAAGTTTCAGTGGAAAACGTCTGAAATGTTGCTTTTCCCTAAAGCAACATGAGAGTATCTGCTACCATCAGCACTTCACACTGAGAAACAAGTCCATAGTTCACAGCAACACCTACTCCCTGCTGGCTTTGCTAAATGCTGGCTGGAAGATCCACTCCTGAGACAGACACCAAGCACCCTGGGAGACTGCTGTTGTCCAGCAGACAAAAGGAAAGCCCTCAAGCAGGCTTATCTACCATCAGCTGCAGCAGGGTGAAGGTGCCGGGAAGACTCCTCAGACAGGGCCAAGCCACCATGTAGGATGTAACAGTACCTTACTGCATGGGACATGGCAGGAGGCATAAGGAAGAATAAGGAAAAAAGGCCACAGCTCATACTTGGATAGGAACATGGCTGCAGCACTCTAGAGCAAGGACTGAAGGTCATTGTAGGGCTGATAAAGGTTTTGGGTTGTTCCATGGCACAACCAGCAACCTTTCCTGTAGGCAAAGGTGGCCCCAGCTCCCCTTCTCTTTCTGCTTATCGAAGTGGAGTTTCAGAAGTGGCATGTCATTGCACAGAAACAGATATCTGATTCCGGGCACTTTTAAATGCAACAAAGACATAGAAAAACCCACCAACAGGAAACTGGTTTCAGCAATTCAAATGGAAACAATGCTTTAATAATAGCTAGCCCTTTTATAACGTACAGCAGTCAAGGCAGTCACTGAGCTGACACTTGTCCTCTTCAGCGATGATCCCTGCAGCACCACTCAGACACCAGGCCAGAGGTGGCCAGGTGAGCCCTCGAGCACCTTCCTGGCCATCCAGCAAAGGAGAGGGCAGGGTGGAGGGCAATGCCTTCTAATTGTTTCAACATGCTGTACCCCTACTGTTACAGGAAGGCCAGTGCTTCAACAAGAGACCCAGAGGCTCTTGTTGTACCACTGACACATAAACCCTTTTAGCTTACATGGCCCTCAGCTAGAACAAGCACAGGCCTCCAACACTTCACATGAGCGTCTCAGTCTATGAGTGTGAAAACCCCATCAGCCAGATGCTATCTAGAGACAAATTCATTTCCCGGCAATAAATTAATCAAAATACTGTAAAAGAGAACTTCACTTGCATGAAGCATTTCTCAGTGAAAAGATTATTCTTACAGTTAAATTCACACACTTAAAACTCACTTCAGCCTGTTGTGAACTAGAAAAAAGGAAACCACCAATTAGAACCTTTGACTGCAACCAAACTCAGTCCCAGGACTGCAGGTAAGTTACAGAGGCTGCTCAGGGGTGGCCAGCAGAAAGCTGCACCTTGCTCCTGACAAACAGCCTTACCTGGAGCACGAGGGATGCATAGACACACCACACAACTCCTCAAAAGATGCAAAGTCTTGAAGGAAACTGGCTTGCACTGCTCTCTCAACATGAACTAAGATCTCCTTGTGTCTCCCTGCCAAGGGACTGTGTTTGGACACAAGAGATGTGAGTTTCTTGCAACCTTCTTGCAGCTGTGCAAGTAAGGTGGGGATTACCAAGTAAACAACATTCCCTTGAGCCTGTGTTTGTCTCAAGGTTTGGTAAATATTGGCCTTCTCAGACAGGATGGGTGCATTTACCTGATCCAGCCCAGCTTCCCTGTCCCAGGAGGAGAGCAGAACCTTTTTCAAACCCCAGTTTGGGGCTCCTGGGCATTCACAAATACAGTGATTTCCCCCCCCGCCCAGATTAAAGGAAAACTAGACAGTGAGTATGATAAGAAGCTCTAGCCTATGCTACAGGTGCAGGACTGTGGAAAAAGCCTTCAGTGGTGAAGATGTCCTGGAAAGCAGGACAGATTGCCAAAGATAAGTGAAAGCTTCCATTGGAAGTTTTTAGAATAACATCCATCAGGAAGAGCTTAGGTCAAGCTCAGCCTACATGGGTCTTGGGGCATAAATCTCCCACCCTATGAAACAGGGCTGCCACTTTCCTTATTCAAGTTTTTTTGTGCAGCAGGTGTCCCAGTTAACCTGCTTTCTGTAGTGTGGAACTGATGACTCAGCTCTTCAGAACAAGAGGCTCTGTCTGCAGAGCCTTCCTTCTAGCACATACAAACAAAAGAGAGCAGCACTTCTTTTGCTGTGCTTCATTGTGTTTTGGAACTCACTTGTGATGCTCTCAGAAGCTCCATGCTCCTTTCAGACCTGAAATCCTCACAGCTGCCACAAAGTTTCTAGCAAACAAACTCAGAGCTTTCATTTTACACCGGAAACAACAATTATGTGGGAAATCCCCCTCCCACACTCCAGAGTCCATACTTTGGGTAGCTAGAGCTCACCATATACAGCTATATAGGTTCAGTATTGGTTTTAAGATCTACAATGTAAAAAGTCACTGGGGTAAACTTTTAAGATAAGCATACCAAGCCAGTTCAGATTGAGCCCTCAAATATAAAAATGGCATCAGAGACTAGGGGACCAAAACAAGCCTTCATTCTCCTCCTCCCCCTACCCTCTTGCTCAACATCACACTGCCCTACATCACTAAATACAACCTACCAAGCGTAGAGCTGCTCTCATTCTGCCAGGCCCTGAGTTCTCTGCAGTTGCCTTTCCCAGCTTCTCCATTATCCTGAAGTGGTCTTCTCAGGATGGGAGCTGCTGCTATCTGTACAGACGCTGCCTCTTGCTGTGCCTAAATCCGGTGCTCATCCCTCAAAAGGATGCAGGAGAACCACCTGCCCAGCTCCCTGCTGCAACTCTGGTCTAACACAAGCACTGGTTCATGAAATGAAGTTATAGGCAGGTAACCAAGAAACACAGTAGGGATACACATTCTCCTCAGTTAAGGGTGCAACAGCAAAGGAAATTGCATGGGAAAGGGAAAAAAATTACAGTTCTCTTTTTCCAGTACTTTCCAAAGGAAAAGCAGAATGAAGAGGATCCATAAGCTTCCTCTTCCATTTTCTCCCTGAGGAAGCTTTTCCAATTCCACTATCCAGATGGCACAAGAATAAAGAACCAAGTCATCTTTCAGCAGATACATGTACAGGTATGGTTAAAAACCCAGTGAATTAACTTCTAATATGAGAATGCTTAATATGCCTTCATAAGCCCATTCTCTTTGGCACCTAAAGAGCACAGAGATGACACAGGAGACAGTAATGCAGCTGAAACACCACATGCAGAGTCCATACCCTTCTACAACCTGACCTGAATGGCTCCCTGCAAAATTAAGATTGAATCTGCTATCCCATCTCAGGGATGGTGAAGCTGCTTGCTGGGATGTCCGAATCCTTAGCTGTACTGACAGGCACAGGGGCTGCTTCTTGCCCTAAGTCCAGGCAGCTCCTGCAATGTTTGAACACTACCCTAAAATAGGATTAGACAAAGACTAGGCTGAGGGGAAAACACTACCCCAGAACCCTGATTTTACTGTTTTAGTAACTGGTGAGAGATCCCATGACAGCTGGTGCTCGTTTTTCATATTTTTGTGATGCAGAATAGTTCAGAAGACAGGCTACAAGAGATTTTTCCATTTTACTTTGTTTTCTCATCTTCTAATCCAAAGTTTCCTCAACGTGTCACACAACTGTTCATCTTCACGTCCTAACAGTCAACTGTTTCCACTTAAATGAATGGAAAGGACCACCTGCAAGAGAAGCTGGACAAGGCTCACACAGGCTGAACTCAGAAGGGAAACTACCTCAGGGGGATGGCAAGGAGACAGTTATCACATTCAGAAATAGACACACACAATTTAAAACCAACTCTACACCCTCACATTTATTTCTCTTAAAAAAAAAAAAAAGTCTGCAAACAAGTCTCATTCCTCCTTTCCAATTTAGTGGGGTTGCTGCAAGCACTCCATGGCACAAGACTCTTGGGAAGCAGAGAAAATGTACCACTTACATTACCTCAGTAGTATTTCCATAGGAAAAGCCGACTCCTAACTTACATCTTCCTTGAAGCACAAACATGGGATTTTAAGAAGCATCCCAGCATCAAGTCCAAGGAACAGCACAGCAGCCATCAGGGGCCCAACGTGGCTGCCAGGCTCTAGCAGAGTAGAAGGCCCTCCTTTGCTGCCAGGCGCTGGCGGTGGATCTTATCCTGCTGCAGCTCCTCATGGTTTGGATGCCACAGTTTCATGACAATTCTCTCAATGTTTAGGGCGTAGACAGTGTGTGCAGGAATAACTTCCTTGTGTACCTAGAGGTGAGTTAGAAAGAAAGTTTCACGCTTTCATACTTACTTCCCCACACTGCCCATGGAAGAACCTGCAAGATGATCAGAGCCAGCCCTGCAGAGCAGGAACACAGGCTGTCACACACAAGGAGAGCTGTAACCTGCCAGCACAGAACAGTCTGTTACAACACTTTGTAATGGAGTAGCAGGATAGAGAAATCTTGCTCCAAAAACACACAGAATACAGTTCTGCTTGGCCTAACACACAGCCCAGATGCTCAATTACAATTCTTAAAATCTGCCTCCACAGCCTTGAGGTAAAAACCTCAAAGCCTGCTCACAGCAGTAAAGAGCAAGGCAGGAGAGGAAGGGTGGAATCTCTCACAGCTAGCTTCAAATTAGCCTGCTGGGCCCCCGCACTGCCAAAGAGGGACCCACAAACAGGCATCTCTGGAGGAAAATTCACCCACAGCACCTCTGACACCTCCCCAGGGCTGAGGCAATCATACATAACCCACTGCAACAGCCAGCATGCACGATCCAGTATTCTTCTAAGCAGCCATGTGGAACACAGAGGAAAAAGGGACATGCCAGGCAGGTCACTCTGCTGCACTGCTGTCAAAAGGGGGAGCATTCTTTTGTAGAGATGGCAATTTCCTCATCAACTCTCTGACCAAGGGGGACAGAACGGGCATTAGACCATGAGTTGACTTTGTTACCCGTTACCTAATAGAGGGAGCAAGTCAAAGCCAAATAAGTTTGAGAGAGAAATAAGGAAACTGACTGTGAGAGAATGAAATCAAACCCGTCTCTGTGCACATAAACCAAATCCAAGAGTGGCAGCTGATACACAGGACAGCACTGCCCTGGTCACAAAGTGTGATACGAAGAGCTTACCTGTAATGCCTCAAAAAGGTCATACATGTTCACTGGAGGGAGGGATGCTGGCAAAGTATCTCCAGAGCACGCCAGCAGTAGCGCTGCCTGCTGCTCTGCATCATCAGGTGGGGGCTGAGGGGCTACGCTCTGACCAGCAGAAGGTGTCACACAGGCTGGAGGGCTGCAGACAGCAAGCAGTAAAACATTCCAGTCACGAAAGCAGCACTAGCTTTGGTAGTAACATAGCAGGGGCTCAGCCCCAGGGTTTGCTTTTCTGTATTTGTTAATATAGCCTTTGTGTATATGAAATTCTATACACTAAAGTCACTTAATAAATCTCAGTTTAATAAAAACAATGAAAACTGATCTTCAGCCTGCCTCAGACCTGTTTTGTACTCTATTGTGAGTTGGTAGCCTTTGCTATTCACAACCAAGTTTCCACCCAGCCTAAAAAATGAAGGCACCCACAACATTCAATTGAGAGACATTAGCTATTAGGCAGAGTTGTTTGGAATGGATTCCATTTGTGGTACGATAACCAAACCTTAGAACACCCACGACCTCCTGTGAAATGCTAGAAGCTCTGTCATGGACAAACAACTGCCTCACCATACACACACACACTGCCTGACACAGAGCATATGCTGTTTGACACTGAGACTGCAAAACCAGATGAGCTTGAAGCTCTGCAAGTGGAAAGGCCTGCAGAAAAACCATTAATACATGTGGACACAAGAAATGACAGACTGCAGCACCTCAAAGGTCCTCACCTGCATCTTAGCCTTCTGGTACAACAGCAGTGCTCAAACAGAGCTCTGCCCTACTGCTTTCATAGTGTGTGAAAGCTAAACACCACAGTTAGCAGATTCCACTCAGTCAGAAGAAAAACCAAACTGAGTAACTTCAGGACTAGCAAATTATATTTGAAGTTAACAGCATGCTGAAAGCTCCTTACCACTCAATTAAATTGTTGTAAGCAACAACACTGCTCTTCAGCCCAGAGGCCTCTTCCCTGACACCAGAAGTACTCCTGCATCACTTGCTCCAAACGATAATTAATAACATTCAGAGGGCCAGGGGTCACCTTGATAAACTGATAAGGTAGCTAGGAAGAGACTTAACATTGTCCTGAGCTCTGCTGATGAAAAATCCCCACATTCTTCCTCCCTGTTCAGCATACAGCAAATGAAAGCTGAACACCATTAATAGATCCCACTCAGTGTGAATTAAAACTGAACAACAGAGTAACATCAAGACTAGCAAATTACATTTGAAACTAACAGTGTGCTGAAAGCTCCTTACCACTCAATTAAATTGTTATAAGCAACAACACTGTTCTTCAGATATGGCTGAGGATTGACATTGCTTCCAAAGGCATACTTGAAGTGGCCATCTCTCAGCCGATAGGCTTTTCGTCTGGATATCACAGATGTCAGAATGTCCTTAAGATGGTTCTGGAATTGAAAACATTCTTGTTAAGCATGCTGATTAACTCATCCTACCAAACTACAGCTCAGAGAAGTGCAGACTGACAAGTTCTGCCATAACCACAGGGACCTAAAGACAACACGTGGGCAGGCAGAGTGTTTTCACTTAACCACCTGATACAAGCTGGAAACAAAGAACGTGGCCCTGCATTTTAAAGCAGAGTTCACAGGCTAATACATGATGTGCTACTTCAAATGTCACAGAGAGTTTTTTTAAATACTAGGAAATTCCCAGCCTGATCCCTTTCAAGAGCTTTTATAGCTTGCACTCTATGTGCTCGTACTGAAATACTGACTCTAGAACTACTATGAAAAGCCATGCATTTTTTTTCAAGCTGTTGATGTGTCTGGAAGCTGCTGGAGAAACAGCTGTCTGGAACTGCTTCCTAGCATGACCTCACTCCCAGACAGGGAACTGAGGTTGGCATCTGACACCACAGCTTGGGGAAGCAATCCCCAGAGAGCTGACTAACAGCTGCACCACAGGGCCTGACTGGGAGACGCCTGGTAACAACGCTGCCAGCCAGCTGCTCCAGCAGGCAGTTCACGCAAGTACTGTCTGACTCTGCTACTTCCAGGCCAGATACCTTCACATGTAACGGATTTATTTTAAACAAACTCCTTAAGAAGATGCCATTCTCTTTTCAATGGTGGGAACAGCATTTTCCAAACTAGCTACTCAAGTGTACCTAGTGCTCTTTGTAAGCGAGCACCTCTCATACTTAACCCTCACAACCACAAATCCAATATGTTACCATCTCTGAGGGCACAAACCCCTCTGATTCCAACCTTACTCTTCCTGAGGCAGGTGGGCAATCAAAGCAGCACAACCCCTCTCAAGTGAGGGGGGGCTGCGTGTGCCCCGTACTGCACACAGAGACTTTTTGCTGCTGGTATAATGGGAACCAGGGCTGCACAGCCCAGTCTCACCTCCACAGCATAAACCACAGCTGTCACCGCATCCTCTGTGACGTTGTCCAGCCCGTGCTCATATGCAGTTACAATCATCCTTCCTTCTAGCTGGCCACGCGTGGGAAGCATCATGGTATGGGAACACAGCTTCAGATCATCATCCTCCTGAGGATCTTTAGCCACAAACTGCTGGGCTCCAGACAATGGATTCTGAGGCTGGAACCGGTGCTGCAATCAACACAATATCAGAGTGTAAGGTGATGTTAACTTGGTCAGGCTTCAGTTCACCTCGTGAAATATTGCTTCTCAAACTGAAGCACGAACAACCTGCAGATCATATAGCAGCAGGACAAAGGGAGCAGTACACCCACCCGTCCCCAGGATACTCCTCTAAACTCTCAGTGAAATTTCTGGGCTAGGGTTGGTGTCCTTCCACTTAACTACCCATTCTGCAGCACTCTGCACTACCAATACCTCAGGTACCCACCACATTCCGCAGCAAGTAATTCTACACTTACTCTGTACTGCCCACCTGCTTGGCTCATTTCATTTTCCTGCGAGTCTCCAGTGTGGCCAGTCACAGTCCCTCTTACCTCTGTCCACACTGCAGACTCTACTGGACTTTCACATTTTTCAGTCACTTCCTTCTACGCTGCAGAGTTCTCATCTACTTACTCACTTCTTGTGCAGAAGTTCTTTGATATTAGCTAAAAAAATACACCCTATTGTCCACCAACCATACAGTTTCCTACCAAGAATCAACACAGTGATCCTAAGCTTGAGTAAGTGATTCTTACACATCTTAAAAGAATAAGGATTTAAATACAACAGCTTCACCGCATTTCAGTTCCAGGTTTTGTACTCTAACGTCCCCACACACTTCTACCACCCTAAGCAGGGCTGGGTAACTGTGCAATCAGTTTGAGAAGATGACAGCTGATAAGATTATTTCAGAACTGAGGGAGTTACTTAGAGACAAAATATCACCGAACTTGAATTCGCACCAGAAGGAAGCACGCTTCCTAACCCACCTGCTCCTGTGCTATTCCCAGGCCACACTTTGCGGTGGCTCTGTGGAACTCAGTCCCCAAGCAGAGGAGGAAAAAGATAGAGAGGAACTGATGTCTGGGCGCAGACACACGCTTGGCCAATCCCCAAGCCACAAGGGAACACCACAAAGCTGGCTCACCAAGCACTCACAGGACACCTGCCCTCAGCTCCCCAGGACATAAACCATGGAATAAACACTGCCACGAGGCTCTTACGAGGGATCATAACAAGGACATGCTTGACATATAAACAATGAATATACAGCAAAGTGGATTTCTCACATCTTGGTTTCAGGAAAGGAAGAGGGGCCTTCTTTATTCAAAGGACAGTGTGGCATTTAACTCAAAGTGAAAAACCAATCCACCCACTGACACTGTGAAAGCACGGTGCTCTCACAGTAATTTGGAGGACTTAAGCTTTCATTACAGGAAACCTTCGTGTGTGGAAGGGGAAATATAAAAAAAAGTGACCTTCCAAGTGTAAGCACTTCTAAGAGGAATGTATTTTGGGAAACCAGAAACCAACTGGAATTAATCTGTAGTCATTTCCACAGTTGCTCTGATCAGTGAGGAGACATCAAGGCAATTACTCCTAAGTTCACACTACTGGAGCATTACACTAATAAGACACAAACCTCTTAAAATACGCCTTATGTAATGTTTGCTATAAGACATTCCAGTAACAACTCCTATACTTGCATAAATATGCAGTAAAAATGCAGTGCAACATAGGGGTGCTCAAGCAAAACAAATTCCAAGACTTGCATAAGTGGATTCTCCTCCTCTTGCTGCTGAAAAGCCACAGTGAAGTTCGAAAACAAAAGATAACATGGATTGCTATCTCTATTCAGGCCAAAGCTGAGAAAAATATTTTCACAGCTTCTAAATACAATGAGCCTTCAGCTGGACTTGCAGCCCTCCGAAACACTGGTCTCTAAAGCATGCACATAAAGCCCAAATATTGCACTAGAGGTGTGAGGTGCACTTTGGCTGAGCCAAGCCAACTTCTCACAGTGGTGAGAGGCCTCAAATGCCCACCTGTCCCCCTGCACCCAGCTACATGGCTTCCTTGTCTTCCTTTGCACTGACTCTGACACCCATCCAACCACAAGGAACACCGATCCAACCGAATAAGTCAGCAAGAAAAACCTGGGAGTTTTTATTTGGTTGGTTTGGGGTTTTTTTGCTTGGTTAGCTTTCTGCCTTATCAGAGGTGAACTGGATCAACATGCAGTCTAACACTTGACAAAGCCACCTCACAGACACTCTCCCTTTCAGCAAACTTAATTCGGTTCCAACAGACCAATCAAATCCCACCCACAAGACACAGTGCCCCATCCTAGTCCTCCTTCAGACCAGGCACACTGATCCAGAAGCACAGAAAGCTTCAGAACAGATACATGACAGTGTCAAATCAACAGATAGACCCTTTGCTGCAAAGCCAACTACTCGTTGTGCATTTCTACATATAGAAGGCAGTATCCTTGTTTCAGAACCAAAAATGCTTTGCAATTACACTCTCTGAAAACATTCTGCTTAACATTCTGCTTTCTCTTTACTATTCAGACTGCAAAGAACCCTGCAGCTGGAGCAATTCTGCTTGAGAGTAACCATGAACTCACTGTTTCTTCAAGAGTTTTACAGATGTGTGAAGATTATAGAGAATGTGGAAGATGAACAAGCAAATGAAAGATGTATCTAAGAGTTACCACAGAGCTACGCTGTTAGTTCTTGAAATACAAGCAGCAGCAGCTCCCAGCTCTTGGGACACACATCATCAATAGGGCGTGACTTCAGCACTCTTGGCAGTAAGAAGAACAATATGCTGTGCACAGCAGTTCACCCTCACAGAATTGCAGTAACCCAAGACCATTTGGCTGCAGACACTTACATCAAACTTCTGCCGCACTGATGAAAT